ATAATGACATTAATTTACTTTTAGCAAATGTTCCAGGTACGTTTTCTTTTTCAAACGATTTCTGATTATCAAGCTCATCCTTTTTTTTTTCTTTTGTCGAACCCTAGTTCAACGTCTGAGCAAAGAGCAATTGAACCGACGATTAACATATGGATATCATCAACCCAACTCGACAAGACCGATCCATGATCCTGAGCGAAGAATTCTATTTTTGAGTCGCCTATGGAATGTGAACAAGGATATTCTGGAATTTAACTTTACCCGTCTACAACAACTCATACAATTACTAGCTACTGAGCGATTGCAACGATTTTCTACCCGATTCGCGGATGAATATCCTCATGAAGATGAATATTCTGTGGCATTAGAATTCTATCTTCAAATAGATGTCCAGCTCTTCCATATGAAGACTTGTTCGTATCGAGGAGCTGAAAGTCTACGAGAAGATGGCAAAAGTTTGTTCTCTTTTGATCAACCACAAGCTAAGTATTCGCTCACAAACTGTAATCAATTTTCCTGTTCTATATGTCATCCAAAGTATCGATTGACTTATCGCCAAGATCAACCTTTGGTACGATTTGGACCTCAACAGCAACATTGTTTCATTAATGGATATCAATCCATACTGAATTGTCCAGCAACATGTACGACAAGAAATATTATTTATGTCATGACATGTCCATGTCATCAAGCTGATTATATTGGTGAAACCAGTTTATCTTTAGCCGAACGCCTCCTATGTAAATGAATTGTTGCACTCTATTTAAAAGTTGACTTTCTTTTTCTATTGCTGCTCTTCACTTTACAGATCATCAAGAACATGGAAATCGCATTGTACAAGAAGTTCTTTTAGGCAAGAAAAATGTCACTCGAATTCGTCCAGAATTGAAATCGTTTGAGTAAGTTTGCTTATCGCATGAAACATTTTTGCTCATTCTTTCATCTATAGAACATTAGTGAAAGACGACATGAAACTCTATCAACATTCAGCCAATTGTCCAGCAGCAATCCAATGGTTTCTAGATGAAAATCCTGCTTATTGGCCATTTGTTCCAATCAAAATAAGCGAAGCAGAAGAATTCGACGAAGAGAGAGAAGTTGCACAGTAAGAATGTTCCGTTCAATTCTTTTTTGTTCTCTTGAATGACTATTGAATAAGTAGTTCCCTCGAAGACACAACACAATTTACATATGCCAATGATATACCTACTCCACCAAGTGGTTATCGCTTCACGTTTGAACAAAAGATGGCCATAGAACAATTCTTTCAAGAAAGAAAATATATCAATTCACCAAACTATTGTCTCGATCTGTATCATGCGGCTATTGTCGCCATATGTAAGTGGGCCACAGTAGTATTCCATCAATGAATGGAAAAGATACTTTCAATTTACTTTCTTTTTTCATGACAGTACCTGAGCATGCTTCTGCTGCTTTGAGACGATTTGTCGAAGCATTATTTATTACACATGCCGAAACCAAACTTAATACAATCGGTCATCTCGACCAATGGACACCATTGAATGACACAAATTATAAGCCTTCTATCGAATGGTGCCGAAATCTCTCTCGTCGATCAGAAACTTGAACATGCCTATTGTATTTGTCACAAGTTCTTCTTCTTTTTTTTTTTTTAGTTTGTTTATTCATTCCGATGAATTCTAACGGAAAGGCCTTTTTTCAACTTATTTCCTCGGATATTTATATAACTATAATGTGCAACATACTTTGTAGATTTCTACAACGAATATTCTTCTCATAACAGGTCATTGATTGCCAAGAAACACGTATGTTTCGTCAACGATTACTTTCAACGGACGTTCTACCACACGATTCAACAGGTACCTTTAAACATATTCTGTTCACTTGACTATTCTAGTTCGTGCGTTATCTCTTTACTACAGTTTCTCCAAGTGCGTCACCAATTAGGCCACATCATCCAAGATATAGTTACGATGTAATACATGCATCGACACAAACCTCCGATGCATTGGTAAATCTGTCTCCCACTTGCTCAGAAAAGGATCAATCATGGTTACCAATTCGTATGAATGAAGAGGCAACACGCTTATGTCAGGTATATCCATCGGCAATGTCGAAGACGATTCAACAATATTTTCTTCCTATTTTTCCAATATGCAATGATGCCAATCAATTCTATCCTCTCTCCACAAATACAGCGGGTGCGTATTAAGTCTTTGAATCATTTCAAAATTTAGCATTCATACCACATGGATCGATATTTTCATTTAGAGAAAGCATTATCTTCGCTTGAACAAAGAATAAGAAAAGTGCATCGTTATGATAAAAACTATGGTCAATTGTTACTGGAGTTCAACGTTAAACTTCGATCAGACATACAACAATCAATTGAATCATATGCTCAATTATGGAATATACATCAAATAATTTTAATAATCAATTTAAATCGTTTGTATGATGTACGATCTCGATTTACTTTAAGAGAATACTTTATGAAACAAGGTGAAAAAAACTACGAATTCTCCGTGGAAGAATGGTTTACGCTTTTAGAATTTTATTTGCAAATGGACGGTTTGTTATCATCATACTACAGTCGTATTCTAATCGTAGAGACAAATTACTTTTCTTGAATCGTTTTAGGCACCTGTTTCTATATGAAATCTTGCACATTTCGCAATTCTAAACCACATTGGGACTATGTAGGCCTCTTTACGACCAATGAACCGAAGTCTTACTATGGGATGAAACGATGCTCCGATCACAGTTGCCGTTTTTGTTACGAACGTTTGGATTTAACGGAACGCTTTGAACCAGCAATGAATTTCTCAACAAAACAAGTGCATCGCTTTGTCAATGATTATCAAGTCTTTTTAAATTGCGATGTCGTAAGAACATGATCATTCATTCACTATCTTCTCAAATGCTTCGATTCATTTAGACTTGTACAACGTCGAATCTGATCTATGCACTGACATGTCCTTGTCGTTGTTATGATTACATAGGTGAATGTGATGTACCATTTCGAAATCGAATGATGCGTAAGTGACATTTGGACGGACACTTTCTCGTTAGAAAATAGAAAAAAATAGTCTGTGATCACGTCTTATTTTAGAACATCGGATGTCTGGGTGCCGTATTATTAGTAATTTCCTCATTGGAACACTCGTTGCCGAACGTTTACGTAACGATCGTGATCCAGATCCGTATGTATTACAGTTCTAGATATCTATAAACCGATTGTATCTATGTACAGTTGAACTCAATGTTATCAATTTAGATACATCCCTGATTATGAGAAAAAACTCTATGCACATTCGACACAATGTTCTGTGCCTCTACAATTATTCTTAAAATGTCATCCAGAATATTGGTGTTTTGTTCCGATGACCAATGAACAAGTGCTCATCGATAATGCTCGTGTCAGTCCTCTTGAAATCAATCTTTTAAATGACTATCAAAATTCTCTTTTTACTGCAACACAAACAAGCCAATATACTCGCGACATGACATTAGTGCAATGGTGTGTTAATCATGTGCCATCACCTCCACTGAACTATCAATTTTCAATACGACAAAAAATTCAACAATATGAATTTTTTTCGACCAAATCAGACATATATGTCACTCGATTTCTTGATCTTTACAATCCAGCTATTGTTCTTGCGCGTAAGTGACCAACTTTTGTCGAGGACGAACCACATAAGTGTTCTCTTTTACAACCTAAAATATCATTGCTTTTTTTTATGTTTTTTCTTTAATATTATAGTGCCTGAAAATGCTTCGGATGCGTTACGTCGTACGGTACAAGCTTTATTAGTCGTTTACGCTGAACCAAAATTAGTAGACACTACTGTTACGCACAGTGAAACAGCATTACAATCGACTGATATTATCGAGCCAACGATTTGGTGTCAGCATTTAGTGCGTCCATAGCTACAAGACAAGTCTACTTCAACAAAAGACTTGAGCATGCGCCGGGCAGTAACAATCTGTCTTTGCTCCTGTCTTTTCGAACATAACATTTTGCATTTTTTTGTTGTTTGATATTGTTCAACTTCCATTCGATCGGGACATTTACCGCATCGATCTTCTGCTTTTCGTCTTATTTAATCCATGCGTGTCTATAGATGTATTAGTACCTTTATATCGTATCTAAAGTGTTTTGAATTGTAGATAATAGAGTAACATTACAAAAGACAAAATTATTACACAAAACATCTTCAACAAACTTCATAGAAACTTCGTTTAAATTCTATTTCCAAAATGGCTGCATCTGACAAAGATACAATGACAACCATTGATCTTACTAACAACGTATGTACATTGTTTTATGCACTTATAACTAGTCAAATAAATTGTTTTTTTTGTAGTTCAATGATGTGGAATGGTTTGACGCAGTCTTTGATATACTTGATGAAGAAGGTGATGAAGATCGAGATGATATTTTAGAAGAATACAACGAAGATTTTGATTTTGACATTAGAAATAAAATTTTTAATGAAGATATGATTGAATGCGTAGAGCCAAAATTCATGATGGCGAATATGGATCCTGATAGAAAAGTAAACTATACATTTCTTTATTAATTCTACGTCGGTACCTTTCTATTCTGATGAATGCTCATGTATACGTTTTAGATTCGGTACGAGGAAATTATTCCACAAAAATTTAAACAAATATTAGCAAATAATGAAGAACGACAACGGAACGTCGAGGAAAATCCGTTGACGAGTGATGAAAATCAAGGAAAAAGCATACCATCGACACAAAGTATGCCATCGAAACCGCTACGATCATGGGATGATGACTACGTCGACAGCGAACAAGAAGAAGAAGAAGAAGAAGAAGACAACTACCCAATATCAAATTATGATGAAAGATTAAATGAGATGTTTGAAAAAGTAATGCTCGATCATTTAAGCGGAACGACAACAACGCTATCGATCCAAATGCTACGAGAATTAGCTATGTTACAACATGAAGTGGCAAAAATAAAGCTCCAGAAGAAACTATGGAACATCTATTTGAAAGCAGGTACAGGTCAATGGGATACACCGGAAAGCTTGCAGACAAATGTCGATCGAGGCGTATGGCCCATACCTATTCAAAACATGATCAAGTTCCGGTTGAGTGAATCGAAGACTAGTGTAACGAAGAATGAACGCGAACTTGGAAAAATCATTGTGTGCGAACATTTACAAGTATTGGATGAAAAATTGCAACATATTCTTGCAACCTATAATACAAAGAAAGCACAATCAATTGGTGTTACTGATGAAATAGAGAAACTTATTGAAAATTTTATTACACGATACAGTTTAGTCTCCTATCAAATGAAATTAAACTATGAATTTACAACACTATTATATGATTACGATGATCAACTACTTGAACGTACTTATTTACAAATGAAACCAACCGATTACCAAGTAGGCTTTCTCTTTCTCCAAGATAGTCTGTTTTATCTTCTTCACCGTTCTGTTTAGATTCAAGTTGCACAACGTCTCTCTGACTTCAGATATGCTTATGTACTAGCGAAGCAAGATTTAATCGAATTAAAACAACACATTCTTTGCCAGCGAGTCACACAATCGATTCACGCCAATGTATTTGCTTGTGTATCAAACTCAAATTCGGATTCGATCAATGATGCCAGTATTTTTCAACAACAACTTGATCGAGAAGCAAAAATCTTACAAGAAAAAATGACTGATCACATGACTGAATTGATTGTTGAAGCAGAAAAGAAAATTGTCAACTGTCGCAACGTATTGAATGAAGAAATTCATCGTATTTCCATTATGGAAACAAATACAAATGAAAGCTTTCCGGAAAAATTAATGACAATTATTGGCCGACGAATCAATATTATCAACAAGAAACTTGAGTATATATATAAGTTCAGATTCAATTATTTCTTACGACATCAATTCGATGACATCGATGATTCATTATCTTTAGTCAATGTTCGTTTTTCACCGTCACTTATTATCGATACCCCATTACATTTCTTTACAAACGAACAAATTAAATTCTTAAATCGTGGACCTACCTATGTTCCACCTTATCAAGTACATGTGTCCTCATTAAACACAACGTCGAATGAATATATTGAAAAAACATACAAGTTTTTACAACATCAGTTAACTATCCTTTATGATAAGTACAAAGTAAACATGGCTCAAAGTTTGTTTTTGAATAAACGAGTCAAAGATGCATATACAAACGCTTTTTCAATTACATTACCAAGATCTCTTCAACAACGTGCCTTCTATGAAAAACAATTGGTCGAATCCATTAAAGAACATTTAAAAGAAAACAATCTTATTTTACGACGAACAGCTGATCAATCGAATGTTTTCTATCTTGGCTTCCGACCTGAGTTTGAAAAGAAAGCGATCGACTTTATGAAGACAACAGATATGTTCGAACTTTGTGAAAGCGTTGATGATAACCATCTTCAAGCAACACGTGACTACTTAATGAAGAAGATCACATCTTTAAATATTGATTTTCAAGATATCTTACATGAAGATAAATACAAAGATATACTTGACAAAATCTGTATCAAGAAAGAGAAAGTGGAGCTACCGTATTTGTATTTTTTACCAGATATATCACAAGTAAGACAGATGTCTTTTTGTTTAAAATCTCTGTACGTTTATATTTGCTTATTCTTTCTACCTTTATAGAAACATAATCTTTGTGTAAAGCCAATGTTTGGAATAAAATATACTGAAACAACTCGATTAGCACAGTTCCTCGATGATCTTTTACGACCTGTTGTTCAAGGGGAGCTAGAATCGACGACATTCAGAAATCAAGCTGATTTTATTCGAAAATTTACTTATTACACAGAAGAAGCAAAGAAGAATCACCTGACCCCAACCACTAATTTTGTTGTCGTCACTATTTCCAATTTTTATCATATGGTGAACCATGATACCATGCTTGGTACGTTGAGAGATTTCTTAACGGCACCATACCGCTTGTCAACGATACAAAATCTGCAGATTAGTAAAATTTATACGTTAACTTCTCTCTTTCTACACAATCATCGATTTTATTATGATCATAAAATCTATCGATTTGTCAAAGGTGCTCCAATGAATTACTCACTTACGGAAACATTAGCTTATGTCTATATTGCTGAATGGTTGAAATCACTATTCCGACACACTTCCTTAGAACAAGAATTTTGTGGACAGTAAGTAATGCATGTTTTAAATTTTTTTTTGTTTGTGATAAACTCACCAGTATCCCGTCTCGAACTATTTCCTTTTAGATATAAAAATCAATTGTTCTTCACGTGGAAAAAAACCTTTAGTGAATTTGTTGAAATGGTCAAAGAAATCGAAAGACGAAATGTTGCAATTCAAGTACAAATAAGCATGAATTCACAAGTTCAATTTATGGATGCTTACATTGAAAATAAAAAAGGTATCCTATACACTCGTGTTCAGCATGATTCAACAGTACAGAAGTATACGTTGCCTTACGTGATTGGAAGTTCAAGAGCACAACATAGTCATTGGTTGCGATCATCTTTAATTCGTGCTGTTCGTTATTGTACGTCAGTGGACGATTTCAATCGAGAACGTATCTATCTCGAAACGACTTGTTTAGCAAATGGTTATTCTTTAGAATTTGTGGAAAAACGCATCGATCATTTTTACCGTCATTTTGATGCTCTCTCCTTACGTACAGTATTGGATGAAAATGTCTATAAGAAACTTCGACATCGATTATTTAATTATATCAGCGAACAACGGCAGATATCGGAGAACAATCGAGAATTAGCAAAAAAAAATGAACGTGTTCGATTATCCTACTTACATGAATATGGTCCAAAAGAACAATTTAATCAAGAACTAAGAAAAACATTGTCGGCCAATCTTGATGCTTCAAAAGTGGCGCCGAAAAGTAACCCAAAGACTACGAAAAAAGCTGTAGTTAAGAAAGAAAAACCACTAGCTACAATATCAAAAAACAACCCAGTTAATGTACGCATCTCTACGAAAAATCAACATTCGTTAAACGCATTGTTAAGTGAACAAAAACCATCTCATCCTTTATTGAATCAGAAGGGTATATTTTTCTGATCATAGTCATTGAGATGTTCCGCTGTTTTATATACTTACTCTGAACATTTAAACCAACATTCTTGTCAAAACTCTGAAAAACATTCTAAATTTCAATAGTTTGTAGTTGTAGTGAATCGTGCATTCGATTTTATTTCATATTAATCATAATTTAGCTGTAGTTGTAGTGTATGTCAATAAATCGATAACCTATATTGAAGTGTTCATTTCTTCTTTCAATTCATTTCATATTCAGTCAGTTCTATGTACGTTTTACTTTTCAGATATACTCATTTAAAGCAATACCAATGTTCTTCTTTACTACGATTACTTACTGTACGATAACAATAACTGGAAAGCAGATCGAACTCCTCTCGCCATTCAGATGAATACAATCAACTCGGTTGTACATCATTTCAATGCGATCGGAACCAAAGGAAAAAATGATGCTTCAAGTAAAGTATACAACGCCTATTTACTTGCAATTGTACTGCTATTACTTTTTGCTTTAAATTAGTATTCCCTTTTGCTTTAGAATTATTTTTTCTCTTAAGTTTCTTGCTCATGATATATTGAAGACGATTTATCGTTCACATTTGCCATTTAAACTGACACACAAACATACGATACTATTTCATTCCTTTCTAATATGGATTTATGCATACGTTAGCCTATCGTTTTAAATTTGTTAGATGTCGTCTACGATTTATATTATTCTGTCCTAACCGATTGTAATTCTTTCCATAGATTCATCATGTAAACATTGGGTGACGATGTACCTTCGAATATCAATGTCCCAATATGTACTAATGAGTACACAGTAAGAATTTAACAACACAACTTAGGCAAGTGAATCATTACCTTTATTCCAACTAGATCTTTATTTTTTCTTCCTACTGTTGCTCTTATTTTATTCTATGTTTCAGGAAAATGAACGAAATTGTTACATAGACAGTCTGTGATACATCGGACGCAACAGTACAACTGATTATAGCGTGGAAAAATAACAACAAATTATTGAACATTGCACAAAAATCATACATAATAGGATTTAAACGATCGTAAACCAGCATCCTCGGCCGATGATCGCTTTTTGAAACATTGTACTTATACTGAAGTTTCCAGATACAGGAAAAGGATAGCATGCTATAAAATGAATAAGGGAAATATTCAGATTTCTCTGTATCTTTCGTCTATGACTGAAACCGGTCAACTTTACAATAAGTCGACAAAGAACAAATAATTTTTATATTCTTACCTTAGATACCGTCTTTGGTTCTTTCGACAATAGACATTCTAGTTTCCATGACTACTTCGCCTATCTTTTCTTTTTCTTTTTAAGATTTTTTGTCTAACCAAATGAAGAATCAAATGAACAAAACAAATCACGATTTGCTTTCAAATAAGGATCCAATTTTATCGACTTCTCTACAAGGAATGCGAGCTGCGACGATTTCATCATCACAGGAGTTACGAAAAAATTCATATCATCCAAAAATTGACACTTTTTTAAGTCGATGGCGCCAATTACAAGAAGAAAAAAATCAATGTCAAAAGCAACAGGAACAAAACATCCAACAGCTCGATCAGAAACCACAAGAACAATGGCAACGAGATGATTTCGATCGACTTATAGAAGAAGATCTTGAAAATCAATTAAAAGAATTGGAACGTCAAGAAGATGAGCAATATAGATTATTGGAACAATCACTTGAGGAAGAACTAAGAACAGAACAATGTGGTGTTTCTATTCAATCATTCCAACATGACTTTTCGAAAGAATTACATCACATGGCCACATTAATACAATCCGAAGAAAACGAACAACTACAACAATATGATACCGTGTTGAAAGCATTGGAAAAATATAAACAATATGATATATTGAAAAAATTCGAAACTGATTTTCACTTATATACAAAAGTAAATATCGACATATAGAATACGATTCGCACGTTTTTCTTTTCTTCTCTAGAAGCCATTGGGCCAATGCGCAACACGTTCTTATCAAACACATGGAAAAGAACAATTCTTTCGTTTATGCCAACAGAAAGAGAGTAAGAGATAAAAATAAATCATTATAGTTTCTTTTTTTTTATACTTTACTTTCTCTCTTTCTCTTACAGTGATACAACGGAAACTAAAAATAATCGAAGAAAATCAGAAGAAAACGAAGAAAATTATTCGTCTTCTCGATTCATACACAAAACCGAAGAAGTACAACTTTTCCTTTTGGAAACAATTCAACAGAAAATGAATCATATTCATTGATTATGCACTATTGATATCATTGAGCTCGGAAACACAATGTCGACTTAGTCAATTTTCTTTGAACTGACTCTTTGCATTCTTTGTTTTGTTCATATGACATGAAATCGTTTTTTTTTGAGACTGTAAATATTAAATGTTAGCTGAAAACATGTCGTCACTTGTTAAGTATAGTGTTCTACTTATCTTTTTCTTTTTTTGTTGTAAAAATAATCTCTAGTTTAATATTATTCTTCCATCATAGATTGAGTAGTGAACTTCACAAATAGTCTTGATCTCTCTGGGATGACTAATACAAACAACTGTCTAAATGTGAGTCCAAACAAGTGAATACTTTTTGAACCACTCTCATAGTTAAACATACATTTTATCCTTTTCTGGTTTAACCGTTTATGAAATCTTTCTTATGTTTAATCATTTGTTTTTGTAGATTATGATGACATACAATCCACATGAAATCGAATATCATATCGATGAGTTTACTATTAATATTTGGTCTTTTTAAATTGACTGTGGTGACCACTCTTATCCTCCTACTTATACTCTAATCGATCTCCATAATGCTATATACTACTCTTTTGCAACTATAACAATGCTTTGCCACTGAAAAGGAACTACGATTTTGGATGGACTCAAACAATACGCATCTCTGGTTATGGTATGGTGATTCTGGAAGAGACGTCAAGTTAATCATTTCACTGGTATAGGTAATCATATGATAAGTCATGACACAAATCAACTAGTAAGTCATTGATCATTTATCTCCTATGCAGACCTATAAATATAGATGGAAGTATATGTGTTCTGAAGATTTCTTACAGCACAAGGAATCACGGATCAACAATGAAGTGGTTTAACATCAGCGAACATACAACATGAAATGATCGCTTTTTTTGGGCATTGGTTCACTATAGGAAATCCTATTCGGAAACGTAACTTACTATACTACGTATTTTTTTCTTTCTTTCATGTCACATCAATTGACATCGCGTCATGCTTTCAATTGCTAATCGATGGAATCTACCAAAGAAATAGCATAGAGTGGAAGATTAAGGTACATGACTTTTGTTGAAGAGAAAAATAGGAGATTCATGAAAACTTTTCCGAAGATACCTTGTCTCAGGTGTTTTTCATTTGTGCTACCGTATAATGTTCAGCGTGAAGAAAAAAAAAACGTGTAACTGTACCACTACTTTTGTACGTCTTGTCTTTCTGTTTATAATGTAGCGTCGCAATTCTTTTTACATAGTGAAATGCTGGTCGCGTCGATGATTATTCTCCCTTTTAGATATTACAATATTAAAAAGTCTTCACTCATGAAAAATGTCAACACCCTATCTTAACGTAACTGACACTATCGAACATACAAGTACTGCTGAAATACAACAAGTAAGATTGAAAAAAACATAGTCATTTTAATTCCTTTTTTGTTATTGTAGGGTGGAAATGTGTCAGTCAACTATGAGCCACATTACATCTCGAATACTGCTCGCGATATGAATACAAATGTGATGGATACAGTGACTTGTGATGTAGAGAATATCACTGCTAGAATATCTGAAGTCGAGGATCAAATGAATAAAGAGAATAATGCTGAAGAAAGTAACTGTAATGATATTCAAGTGACGAGTAGATATGAACATCCATTGCAATATACAGTCGTCACTGCTCAAACCACCCAACATATAACTAAAGTAGAATGAATTTCATTTACATTGCATCCATTTCTATGAATATTTTCTTCTTTAGATAATATCAGAAGAAATGCATACATCACAAAAATTCAGTCAATTATTCACTTCGGCCAACGAGCAACAAAAGAAAAAAGATGACCCGACACGACGAAATCCAACCGTTTCCTATTCAGAACTCAATCTACGACAATTGATTGGATTTGACATCGATAAAGTTCCTCAATATTTAAATCATACGAATGATTCCTTTCAGAAAATCATTCATTCCATACGACCAACAATGACAGTCAATCGTCTTGAAGAATTACGACATATTGCTATTCTTATGTATAAACTTTTCTTACTCGAAAAATTAGAATTGTTGTGGACAATGTATCGACGATCTGGCACAGGTAATCTTGAATTATCGACACCGATAGAACAAATGAATAGAAATATTTGGCCAAAGGAAGTGCGAACACGCATAGAACTTATTCACAATAAACATATCTCGAACAATAACCTGTACTTGACATTTGTTGAGCAATGTCTAGGAAAATTGTATGAGAAAAATGAAGAATGCCAACGACAATTACGATATCGTACGGGTCATCTTGTCGATTATACATGGGCTATGGAAGAAACAATCAAAAAATTTGTACAACAAGGATTTATGTATCAAAGTGTTGAATATGCCTGTCAAATAGCACTGGTACAATATAATTATAGAGAAGCAATGGCAAAACGACAATTTTTACATGAAAATCCGAATCAAAATCAGGTAAGCTATATTGTGGTAAATCACTGTTCATAATAACTCTACATTTGTTTTTCATTTGACTAGATAAAATTATTCAAATATCTTTCTACACTAAAATATCAGGAAGCTATCACAAGACATCAATTTACTACATTGAAACAAGATATCATTCAGGATTTGAAACCAATCTCATTTCGACATCAATTGATTCAAAAGTTTCCTAACATCGGTTCATTTATGCATACAACTCTCCAAACAAAGTTCACTCAACAATTGATAAATACTACTGAAACAATAAGAGTGAATATGTTAAAGCTTTCGCTAGAGATATCTGAAGGACAAATGCGTCACTATCAAAAACAATACAATATGCAAATGGATGAGTTGTGGCGCAAACAGAAAATACTCACATCCAATGAACGATTTACTCCTGCAATGCTTCATTTCATGGGAGAACGTTTAGCGTATATCGATGCACGTCTCGAATGTATCTACAACTTAAAAAGACAATTGTGTAAAATTAAACAGAAATACTAGATTCCTCGACATTTTCTCTTGTATTGTGTTATTAAATTTCATATCCAATGAGTTCTTTGTTTTTTGCTGTTCCCTAGTCATGTTCTTCTTCATCAATGCAATTATCATCTTCTCTCTATATATACTGTAGTAATATTATCTTTTTGGTGCATCTGTTTGTTATGTTTCAGATAAATACCACATTCGATTCATCTCTCTCATGGATAATGACTATGCAATAACAATCCCGACTATCATTATATTTTCCATACACAATCAACTCGTTCAGCCGAAACAAAGAGGAAAACGTTCTCATGGCAATCGAAAACTCAATCAGAAATGGTCGTACAAAAACAATGGTAAGAGACGATGAGTTTGAGAATTGGATGCCCCTCGAACTGGGAATGCTTTTGTGCTTTTTTTCTTTGAATCAGATAATTTCAAGGTACTGCATTCATGGAAATGTGACGGATTGTGGGACATCGAAACCCCCATACTACTCGACTTCAATTGGCACAAATACAACCACCTGTGACGTTACTAAAACCAACACCGCTTCCAAGTAAGACAACTTTTCTATTGATTGCATTTGCCAAGATGAAACTGTATTTTATAGATACGATCAAAGAAAAATCCAAAAGACTACGTCTTGTCAATTGATTTTCTCTAGAAATCTGACTACCACTTCTATCCTCTGTCTTATAATGATAGAACATAAGACACTTTTCTTGCTACTCTGATTAGCAAAATACATACAAATCAATGTGTCGTTGTTCTTTTCTCTCATGTTTTCTTTTGTCAGTTTGTGACATTTGTTTAGATAACGCTTATGTATCATAATTTTAATTGTATTCTTTTCTAGATAGACAAAAAACGAAGAGATAGTTCAATTATCTTCGACAATTCGAATCTTTTAATGAAATATGGAAAGTTAATTCTGATTTATTTGATTGTAATGAACTTTTTCTTTGAAAACTTATCTAGAATTCAATATTATTCACATTTTCTACGTATGATAATTAATTGATTTTGATTTTCTATTCTAGATGTTTTCTTACTTGGGCATCATCTGCAGGATGCCTCTTTAGATTACTTCGTAATCAAAAAAAAAACAAATTGATTTTATTTTGTTCAAGTGCTTCCTCGTGCGCATCTACAAAGTGTCTATTATGTCGACAGAACATATGTTGCTACACTTTTTGTGAACTATATCTCTATATACACAAACTATCTTCTGTTTATTTATGTATCCATGTATGAATATCAATCGCATGTATATGGTAGATGAAGGTAACTCTGTTAATGGCCAGTCAACTTCTATTCATCGGAATTGTAGTATTTACTGTCACTAATATGTACAATGCTTTCTGTTTCATTTTTCTTTTTTTTTTTGGAATGAGAAAGCAATCGACAAACCCTACTCAGTTATACCTATGCTCACCATTCTCAGATTTTTCTAAGTAATTCGTACACCATCCCTGGTTCTGTGTTGTGTGAAAGAGAAATGGATTCATACAGAAATGAGACATAAGATAAATGTTATGTATAACTGCTCTATTGTTTCCTTTCTTGGACGTAAAGAGAAATTTTAGGAGATGTTAGTCCTGTTTCAATTTTCCAAACTTCCTCTTTCAAAAACATTCATCTTTTTACTGGTGATGTTGTGCCCATGAATGTCAATATTCTTTTAGATTCTTGAATTTATTCAAACATAGACATGTCTTCAATCAACTGCTCCGTTGTCGAATCATATCAACGATCTGAAATGGAAGATGAAGAAGTTCTAACAAATGCTATTGAACGATTAATCGATGAATTTTTATCTAAACCTGGTCGACGTCAACCTTACAAGAGTTTTTTTCGTTGGACCATCGCTAATCGTACTATACCACGTTACCATGTGGTACTCAAAATTGATCAAGATTCTCCATCCACCTCGTAAATAGGATGTGTATCAACATCGACAACTGCTCAACATACTCTACTTACGAATTCTTATTCATTCCTCTTTCTCTTATGTGTGCGTATCTCTTTTATTGTAACAAACATTATCGAACCAATTATTAGGTCTTCCCTAACTTGTTTAATTGTGTGTCTGTGTGTGTCTAAGTGCAACTTGTACGTTATATCAACACAACTACTGATTTAGTGTTTTTTTCTTTTCTTCTATTCATATTCAATAAATTTCTTTTACCGTCTCGATTTGTTTTTCTTCCGTCATATTCACTACTCACAAAGCAATGCTCTTCTAACATTTTTCTTTTCTAGATGAAAAACAAATGATCCAGTTTTAATCCATCTCATCATCCACCGCTTGATGTCGAATGTACTGTCACCATAATTACGGAACATTCTAATAATCTTCTGCTTTACTTAATTCAACACTCAATCTTTGTAATATGGTATTCCAATTCACCATTTGTTGACATTCAATTTCTCCGCAAACCTAGAATCAAGTTCAGTTAAGGTAAATTACTGAAAAAGGATAATTTCTTTTGTAACTTTCTTATGCTCTCATTATATTTCATTAGCAAATAAACGGCGCACCAGTCTCACTCAGAATAAGAGCGTAAAGGTACCAGTAGTGAGTAAAACAGAATTGCTGACAAGTAGAATAAAACATTTGCCTTCAATATCTGAGAATCTTGCCTTGTTAGCTATACGAATCACAATCCGCACCTACTTTTTTTATGTGTATTTTCTCAATCCTTTTCCATCGGTTTCTCTATCTCTCTCTCTCTCTCTGAAAGCAACTTTCACTTTAAAATCGCTTCCTATGGTTCTCATTTAACTTGCAAAAATTCATTGTTACTATTCTCAATGTCTTTAGAAAACTTCTCAGCAGAATGAAAACGGGTCGTGCTAACTACGACATACCCCGAAAATGGCTCCATGTTACAGGTTTGCTACTTTTGGAAATAGACTATCTTGGGAGTCTGTATCAAAGTATGATATTTTTCAGTCACTAACGTTTATGAAATCAACTGGGACGGTTTTTTTCGCTTCAGGAAAACTTTGGCGATCAACAATGGCATGAAATCCATTATGTACATTTAAAAAAAAACCTGAATAATGAAAACCATATCTACCGTGGAAGAAATGGCTCATTTTTACATACGCAAATGCAAGCGACCAGCAAACAAAAATGAAACAACTTACCAAACTACTCACTTTTCATCCGATGGCCAATGCTATTGATTACCATCCAACTACTATGATAGATCTCGATCAAGAAAACTCCAAACGAGCACTGCACGTTTTTCGATACCAAATAATATTCTTCATTGAACTATAAGACTCGTGCTTTAAGAAAGCGAATCACCCACAATGTCTTATTTCTTTTTTTGCGAAACGTTTCTTAGAGATTAAACCCTTGATTTTATTGCTTCATTTTCTATTTCAGATAGAATCTTCCAAAAACCAACTACAAGTAGTAAATTAAGAAGAAAGTTTCAATACCTCTTATTTATTACATATGGATTCTGTTACTATCGATTTAAATCGTGCAGAAAGGGCTACTTCTTTCTTGACTAACAATGAACAAGAAAGATATAAACCGATAACATTACCAGATAGAAATAATGGACGATATGCTTACTTGCCAATATTTCCAACCAAGTCTGTCGGCGTAAATGACTATTTACTTTTGGCTAATATACCAGGTTCGTCTTTTGACATGTTTCTACTCTTAAACTGTTATTTGATTGTTGCGATTCTTTTTGCTAGTTACTCATCTTGCACCGAATGAAATCGCTCGCCGTCAACAAGGACCACACACATGCGATGCACTCATCTTAATGAATATGTACAACTACGGCGATACATTCAGTTTGTCTGAACAAGACGTCGAAGAACTAGCCATACGATTAAACGTAGAAAAGTCAATTATTACTTTCAATGCTGATCGACTTCGTGTCATCTGTTATACTCTTCTGGCTTTCCATGAATCATTTCGCCGAAATGTTCTATGTATGGCTGATGTTGCCTTAAAAGAACCAACTTTGAATTCGAAACAAATGGCTATACTATTAGAATTCTATTTACAAATAGACGGTTCGTTAGCATAGTAACAAATCTTGTTATAGTTTTATATATTTTAATATTTTTCAGTTGATCTATTCTACATGAAAACCTGTTCGTATCGAGGAGCTATACCTCACTCAACAACTGAAGGTCTCTTCTGCGGAAAAGATGAACCTCAAGCAAGATATTGTGTAGTTCCATGTGGCAATCTATTTTGTTTATGTTGCTATCCAAAAAATAGTTACAAGAAAAATGAATCATGGCCAGTTATTGATTTCGTTTCAAGTTCAATGCATCAGTTTGTTAACGGATATACGACCTATCTCAATTGTCCAGCTGTAAGTTCTTATCTCATATTGAATCGTCATTGATAGACGATAAGTGAAATTTAGACATGTACGACAACAAATATCGTCTATGCTATGACATGCCCATGTGGTCATTATGATTATGTCGATTCAACAACAGAAACATTGTCAAATGCTATGGCTTGTAAGTATTCAAGCTATTGTGAAGTGCTGTTCATTTGTATATTTTGATTTCGCTTCATATGATATAGATCATCGAGAACATGGCAATCGCATTGTACATGAAACATTGACTGGTAGTCGTCTGTTTCGAGGATCATTATTCGATAATGACGAGGAAGAGTAATTCTAGACATATAATAGTTTGTTCGACTACGTTTCAGTTTTCTTTTTAATATTCTAGAAAAGAATTGGCAAATAAGATGCGTCTCTATCAACATTCAGCTCGATGTCCGATCGCACTTCGTACATTTCTCGATTGTAATCCTAACTATTGGTGTTTTGTTCCTCTACATTGTGACGAAGCACTGTCAGAAAATGCTGCTTATTTCCAAAAAAATCCCATTGGAGATCCAGAATTGGTTTATAGGACGGAAATGACTTCTGCAGCAAATCAACGAGTAGATCATTATCTACAACATGTACCATTGGAACCTAATGGCTATGTCTTTTCATATCGACAAGTACAAAAACAGCGTTTATTCTTTCAACATTTTGTCTGCTCTGCTATTCATCACCTACCCTACCATGCAATAGATTTATATAAAATGGCCATTATTGCTGTTTGTAAGTGAATCTATCTTAGCTAGTCTTTTGTCTATTGTACTTTTCGATTGTTTTAGTGCCTGATGATCGCTCGATTCTATTACGATATTTGATCGAAACATTGTTCATTATTCATGGTGAAACTAAATTAAACATGATTTGTCCAATTGGTGGTGATGTTATGCAACGTTATGGTCACCCATATCACCTTGTTTGGTGTGCTAATTTGAATCGTCTACCGATGGTAACGTCAACTTTCATTGAATGACATTTCAAAGTGCCAGAATAACTATAACAAATTTTCATTTTTTTTCTTGAACGTAGACACTATTGATTGTAGAATAGAATAGAGTTAATCTGTTGTATTGGTAATGTGTACGTGTGCGTGTATATGAAATAGTCAAGTAGTAAAATGAACAAAAAAGTAGATGTTCACATGTTCTATTATTATCCTTCTTTACTATTCTATTGTAGATGTGTATTATAGTTGAAGTATATTGACTAAAAGTTCAATTCAACTCGACAAAATCAATATAGCCCGCTCTCAAATTATGAAACATTAGAATCAAATGACTATAGAATCAGCATATATCGAATTTATCACAGAATTCCAAAACTGATATAAAACATATTCATGTGTATAAAAATGGTTAATATGTCACGGAGCAACCTACAAACAAATTATAAAACGATATCAACAATAAAATGGTATCCTTAATTATTCATTAGACTTCAATCTACATATATCAATAAGAAATTACTAGTCGTTGATTAAATTGCTTCATCATCACTACATCAATGTTTACTTCCTGTTCGTCCACGTTTCTTCGATCCAATATTCATTTTTACGGAAGATTTATTAAAGTGTGGCAAACTCATTTTCTTCTTATTGCTTATTGTTAGCATATGTTCTTTATGTTTCATTTTTCATTGAAGTCTTTTCGATATAAATGCGTGTTTTTTTTAAGACGCAACAACCAAAGAATACATGTGTTCTATAATTGTCTCTTTCTATTTTCATTTTAGATTTCTTTTAATTACCTATCAACGATACATTAGCCAATGTTTCCTGTGTTTCCTCACGACGACAAATACATGCCTGTAAGTTAACACCAGTGGTACCCCAAAATAACGTTCTATGCAACTAAGAAACAAAGAAAATTTTCATTATTTAGGAAAGATATGATAGAAGAGACAAACCAAATTCAGTAACTGCGAACAATCCATTTTCGATAAATTCAGACCAATACAAATTCCGCATCACTGTGCTGGATTTAGTAAACAGCACAGATTTTTGTCTCCTGCTTGGCCTATATACTGTAGCCGTCATTGGTATATATATACTAGTATCGAATTTCATTTCAGACTTTTGCATGAAAGAAAAACCAAGGGAATCAAATGAAAAGTCTTCGAAAAAGAAATCAACTGCACAAGGTAAAGTTTCATTGGTAAGATAAAGCGACAAGTGATTTGAAAAACTTCAATAACTCATCAACACTTTTTATTATAATCATTTAGATCGTCGAAGTGTGATATACACATTCTAACTCGAACAATAACTTTCTATTACAATAGCTTAATCTGTAGTATCTTTTTTTTTTTGTCTCATGTACTTTACCGTTGCAACTCAACCTCATACCTATAGTTCAAAACTGATTTCAATATAAAATTGACTAATAAATAATTCTCATTTAACAAACT